GGCCATGATTGGTGATGACATCATTTTGCCATGCCACCTGGAACCTGCTGTGGATGCTGTTGACCTGACTGTGGATTGGTCCAGAACTGACCTCAAACCTAGATCTGTCTATGTGAGGCGAGAGGGTGTGGAGCTTCTGACTGAGCAGAATTCATTGTACACAGGAAGAACATCACTCTCTGTCAACAAACTGCAGTGTGGAGACGTTTCACTGAAACTCTCCACAGTGCAACTCTCTGATGCAGGAACATACAAATGCCTTGTACCTAAATTTAATGCAGAAACTGTGGTGACGCTTGCTGTAGGTAAGTTTCATTTAATTTAGATTAATTTCTTCACTTTGCAATTTAGATGTGAAGAAAGACTCGGCTAGATATTGAGGGTCAAAGGGCACTCAGAATGACAAGAGGGATGAAGGAACACTTGGGTCAGCTACAATAGAAAGTGGATCATTCACAGAGACATATGAGTTTTATTCTGGGTAACCAAAATAGCTCTTACTTTGGCTAGAAAATACTTCCTGGACAGATATTTGGACTGAGCATATTGACATGAACATGACAAGGGAATGACTACAGAGTCACTGGCATTCTGGTTTTCTGGCCATTAGGGCACACAACCTGACCAGTGTAGCACATGGAGCAGCTGGGTTATTACGCAGTACAACTGGACAAATAAGAGAGATAACAAAAAACAAAAGTACAAAAAACAAAAAACAAAAGTACTTAGAATCACAGGCGATTTGAGCACCCACTAAATGAGCTTTTTGCCAACCGAGGGGTATCTGGCCCCATGAGAGAAACACTTCAGCCAAAGAGGCCCTTTTACCAAGATGAACCAGAGGAAAGCTGTTTTGACAAAGAACTACTTGGATAGGTACAAGTTCATTTCAGTCTATATACAGGAACTTTGAAAAGAGAAAATGGGATAAATAAGTAAGATTATTAGAATTTTGACCAGTTAGATTGAACAATTGATGTCACATAGCATTGTGCCTCTCTATAAGCTTAAAAGGACAATTTGAGTTAAGGTCAATAAGAGAGACATTTGGGCGAACTGTAACTAATTTAAGGATCTTTTTTTTAGATATATATTTTGGCCACTACATTTCAATATTTTGTCTTTCATTCTTTTCTTTGCAGGTTCAGTTTCCTCACCAGTCATAGAACTCACCAATGTCAAAAATGAAATGGTGTTAGAGTGTAAATCTAATGGCTGGTATCCAGAGCCTCAGATGTTGTGGGTGGACAGTGAGGGAAAACCCATTTCTGTTGAACCTACAAAGAATGTCAGAGGTTCTGATGGGCTCTATACAGTCAGCAGTAAAGTGACTGTGGAGAAAGGACAGAGCTACAGCTTCACCTGCAAAGTTCAACAGAAGAATATCAGTCAAATCAAAGAGACACACATCCATGTTTCAGGTAGAAATGCCTTTTTTTATATCACACACATTAATTTTCACTTACAGAAAGTAGAATCTAGAACATTTTGTCTCCTTATATTTACAGGTGATCTCTTTATGGTCCAGTCTAATACTGCTGTTCACATTATCATCAACTTGGCTGTCTGTTTAATAAGCTTTGGGACAGTAGTAATCCTAATATGGAAATGTGGACAAAAGAAAACCGGTAAGTTCAAACTTCATAGCACTTTTTACCCCAACGTCAAATTATCATCAGACCTTTTTAATGTCTTGTTTTAGTGTAACTGCCTTTAAAATTAAGGGCTAAGAAGTACAAACGTGATTCAAATAAAAATGACACAAACACATAAACAGTAATGTTAAAGGCAAAATTGGAGGCTCTCAGCAACTTTACTTTTATAAAGGAATATAACCCTGTGTCCCGTGTTGTAAAGAGATGTGTTAAGACATGCAGAGTTGGTCCCATCAGCGCAGACTGACTGAGATTGATTGCAATATCTTGACTCTCTGTCTGCATTTATAAACTAAGTGTCAATTATTGGCAAATCGTTGCCCGTCTGTCGGAGAGTAACTGGACTTCAAGTCAGACTGTGATTATTTGTTGGCAGTTTGCAACCCATTAGCAACCTGTGCAATTGCCTTGTGATCAAAAGTGAAGTATAGAACACCCTCAACCTCTAGAAGACCAACTGGTTGCCACAACCACCTGCTGAATGTGTAGAAATTCCACACGAGGAAGTTGCCTTCCTATTGTTTTCCTCTAGTGTGACTGAGACATTTTGGGGGCAAAGGTAAAAATATTTGAGGAAATCACCCACTGTAAATTATAGTTATAGCAACAATATAAATAAAAACTTTGTGCTTTATCCTTGTTATAGGATTTGCGACCAAAATGTCATGTTCTCACTCGTTTACTCATATAAACAAAGCAGTGCAAGAAAATTAAATGTGAAAATTAAATATGCATGAATAGATAGATGTGATTTTGAATAAAATTGGCCAAACCTCTCTGACTCACATGTAGCAGTTTCAGTACGTCTAATGTTATTTTAAATATCCTTCATTAATGATTTCTGAACATCTATTTTCACTGAATTTTGAAATACATCTGAAAGTCAGTCCTTCTCAAAAGAAGACTTTGTTCTAGACTCTACATTTTGGTAGTAACCATAGTGTCAGTCTCTATAGTAATGCTTCAAACTCTTTATTTCCATTTATATTTGATTACTGGTATAGTAAATTAATACTGTCAACACATGTGAACACATAAAAATGACTAATATGTTGTCCCTATTTTCCAAATAATTTTTTTCCTGCAATTTTATTCACACAGAAATCAGCATACATGATGAGGATGAAAACGAACTACATCAAACAGAGATGGAGGAAAAATTACAGAGAGAATGTGAGGAAAACTTGAAGAGGCTTGAAGAGGAGTTGCAGAACAATGAGGAAGACTTAAAACACGTCAGAGAAACCATTGAAAAACTGATGAAGCAGAAGACATCTCTGAAGAAGCAGAGCGAAAAACTCCACACACTACTGGAGGAGGACAAGGCAGGGATGAAAGAGGTCATGAAAAAAGAGAAAGAAAGCCCATTACTTGACAAAGAGAAAAAAAAGAATAAGCTTGAAGATAAAAAAGCTGACCTGGAAAAGAGAATAAAAGTACATGAAGAACTGTTAAAGATGACAGAAAAGCTAATGGAGGAAACAGAGAACATTATAATCCAAATGACAGAAAGAAAGGGAAAGCTAGAAAAAGACAAGGAACAAATTATTAAACACTTGAGAGAGAAAGAAAAAAATAAAAGAGATTTAGAAGAAACTGTGAAAGAAACAAGCGAGAAACAATGAACAGGTGTGTAAGTTTTTCTTTAATATATTTCTTGCTAAAATCACACGTACAAACTGTTGTGTTGTGTCTTCAGTTATGAACCTAAAACGTTTTTTGCTTTTCTTCCTCAGCGCAGGACAGAGCAGCACGACAAATAAAACATGGATTTTGCGGGGGTTTTTTTCTCTTGCTGTCATTTTGCAATGTGATGCCTAATGTTTCTTTATTTGTTTGCTTTAAATTTATACTATATACGTTTAAACAAGAAATGCAGTTTGACTGTATGTTATCATAGGAGAGTTTGTTATGATAAAATGTATCAACATTTTTGTGATCCTTTAAATCTTTTGTCTGTGTGTAAGTAAGAATTACACTGTGAGAGGAAGAAGAAAATATGCTCTCTGTATTGTCATGAGACCTGGAGTAGAATGAGATTGAAGTCCCCCCTGGCCGCCTCCACATCACAGCTAAGAGATGTTAAAATTTCTTAATAGTCAGACTTATGTGAGTAAAACTGATCAAAGTTCTAAAACAGAGCTTTCATCTATTTCTTAATAATTAAGCATTTTATTCTTAATCAAGATAAATAAAATACAAATGTAATCAATATATTAATGACAAACATAGTTTTAGTAATAGAAATAACTGTTTTAATATCTGAGTTTTGTGGTGAAATGTGTGCTCATGAGCAGCTTCAACCATGGCAGTTTTGTTTCTAATAACAGGCCTCAGCACGGTGGCACGGTGGTTAGCACTGTTGCCGCACAGCAAGAAGGTCCTGAGTTCAATTCCAACATCAGGCCGGGGTCTTTCTGTGTGGAGTTTGCATGTTCCCAGCGATCGTGGCTCAAGAGTTTGGAGTTCGCCTTGTAATCGGAAGGCTGCCGGTTCGAGCCCCGGCTCGGACAGTCTCGGTCACTTCACCTACCGCCTACTGGTGTTGGCCAGAAGGGCCGATGGCGCGATATGGCAGCCTCGCTTCTGTCAGTCTGCCCCAGGGCAGCTGTGGCTACAACTGTAGCTTGCCTCCACCAGTGTGTGAATGTGTGTGTGAATGTGTGTGTGAATGGGTGGATGACTGGACGTGTAAAGCGCTTTGGGGTCCCTAGGCGGGACTAGTAAAAGCGCTATACAAATACAGGCCATTTACCATTTACCATATGTTCTCCCCGTGTTTGCGTGGGTTCCCTCCGGGTACTCCGGCTTCCTCCCACCGTCCAAAGACATGCAGCTTGTGGGGATAGGTTAATTGGAAAATCCAAATTGCCACTAGGTGTGAATGTGAGTGCGAATGGTTGTCTGTCCCTGTGTGTTGGCCCTGCGACAGACTGGCGACCTGTCCAGGGTGTACCCTGCCTCTCGCCCTATGACAGCTGGGATAGGCTCCAGCGCCCCCCCGCAACCCTGAAAAGGATAAGCGGAAGCGAATGGATGGATGGATAACAGGTCACCAAGAGTCTGGACCTTGGTGTGTGTGTGTGTGTGTGTGTAGGTGGGTGTGTGCGTGTGTGCTGCAGGATGTGAAAGAGACACACTGGAACCACTAATCTCAGAAAGTGGCTGATTACAAAATGTATGATTTAATAAAAGAAGGGTTTTTTTAATAAATTAAATTAGCAGAGTTAATTAGCAGAGTTTAAAATGGTGAAAGAAAGTATTCCTCTGTATTTTAATTGAAAAGAGATTATGTTACAATGAATCTACATGTGAAAATGTGCTAAATGTGCTAAAAACAAATTCTGCATGTTAAGAATAACAAAGGAAATGTAATAAATTGAATTTAAGGTTTAAAAGTACAAACTTTGTGTTAAATCATGTAGGTCAGACATGCAGAGAGACATAGAGAGACAGATAAGGTGTGGGTGGACATCGGATGATTAATGTCAACAATTTGACTGGATGTCCAAAATGTGAAGATGTGATGCCCAGTAGGATAGGATGGACAAAGGGTGAGAGTTATAAGTATGGGGTGGAAAATAGATTCTGGGTTCTTCCCTTCTGTGAGATGATCAGTTCAGAAGATTGGATCTAAGAGTTGAAAATTCCAGCAGGGACACTGACTGGGGTAATGGAAATCCAAACAGTGAATTTATTTTGGAATTTGTATCTGCTAAATATCTGCTCAGTTTTGCCTGTTAGATGGTTAATTCAGAAGGATTTTTATTTACATCATACTTTCACTCAATGCCAAGCTGTTTTCCTGTTGCGTGATTATTATCAGTGCATCTTCAGATCTCGTTGTGTTTATTCTGAACAAACTCAGCTTTAGCTCAGAATAGGTTAGTTAGATAAGTATAGTTTAAATGATTTGATTGTTTTGTGACTCTAAGTATTTGATTTTTCTTTTGCTTTGCTCTTGCTAAATTTCTTTAATAAAATATTCTGTAAATAAAGTCTAAATTGTAGACATTCACTTTTTAACCTTTTTTGAAATTGCAATGGTAGTGGTCTGAGTATTATTCTTTATTAGTGCAAATAGCTCTTACAGGTTACCTTGCCAATCAAAGTAGTAGTTGGTGATGACATACCATTTTTCCTTTCCATCGTTGTTGTTTCTCAGGCTGTGGAGTGGACCAGATTTAACTTGCAACACGATTAGGTCTAAGTGTAATGTTCTGATGATTTCTAGTTGATTATAATGTGTTTAATAAGGAAAGAAAGTTACTGTCCATCCACAATCTAAAATGGTTTACTTTTTGCTCACATCTTGATGCCTGCTCAATCATCCAGGTAAGTAAATCTCCAAAAGTGGGAGAAATGTTTTGTCACTCATCCAAGTTACTTCTTCAGTCTCAGCTGACTGCAGGTTTCCCCAAATCCTATAAACAGTACATTTGCATAATGACTGAAACCAGCCCACTGAAGGAACAATGGGCTGGGAGGTCAGTTCCTTAATC